GGTTATCAATTACATTTGGACCTTCTCTATAGCCATTTTTTGTTTATTTCCCACCTGATTTATTCATTTGTGGTCCTTTTTGTTCCTTTTATTTCATTTGATGGCATTAATTCATTTTGCTTTTTAAACTGGATTTTACCAGTTTAAAGGTGGCAAGATGTGTCACATACAAATTGAGCTATTTCTAGTTCATTTGTTTCTAACACAGAATTCCAAACTTTGTAAAACTACATTAGGACATTTTTATTCCTTGTATGTGTTCTCTGTCAAACAGGTTTTATTCTTGCCCCTCAATTATGACTGTATCTTTTATGATACCTCACCTTTTTCATATTTTGTGTTTTGTTCAGTTCTCCTTGCTGGTACCTGCCAGCTTTCTTTAGGCTGCGAATCATTTTTCTGATTCAACATCTGTTTTTTACTGCTTTTAGTGGCGACGGGTGGTTCCTCATCACAACAATTTCACATTCTCAGTCAATTCTTCCCTAGTAATAAAGGTTAGATATGTAGGGCGCCTGGGTGGCTCAGTTGGTTAAGCGACTGCCTTCGGCTCAGGTCATGATCCTGGAGTCCTAGGATCGAGTCCCACATCGGGCTCCCTGCTCAGCAGGGAGTCTGCTTCTCCCTCTGACCCTCTCCCCTCTCATGCTCTCTCTCTATCTCGTTCTCTCTCTCAAATGAATAAATAAAAAATCTTTAAAAAAAAAAAAAGGTTAGTTGTGTAAAGCTTTCTTCTCTGGGTCTATTTCTAAATCATAAGTTGTACTAATGATAATTTTATATCTTTGATGCATGTTGCATGGCAGAATTCTGACCTAGGCAATAATTTGGTGGTTTACAATCTATCTGAGCACCCAGTAGTTAAAATCCTGTGTCATCTAGACAGAGGCAGTGGTTCTCTCTAAATTCAGAGGAACTTTATTTCCTTAGTGCATTCAGTCAGTTCCCTGCGCTGATAAATGCACGAGCTCAAAATCACAAAATGGCTTGCACTTGGAGTGTTTTCCTCTTGTTTTTGGCAGTCCTGATGGCCTTCCAAATCAGTCTGATTCCTTTTTTTTGGCTTTGCTTTTAATCTCCAGGTGTGTCTTCTTGGCACTCATAAGCATTTCTATCTCCTTTATTTCTTTTTTCTTTGTTATCCTTTCTTCTCCCCCTTTTTCTCTGCCTTTTCTCTCACCTGTGTCTATAATTCAGGTCACATTTCTTAATAGTTCATCTCATTAACAAATATTGGTAGGATTCAACCAGTTGTCTATGACAATAGTGCTCTGTTGTACCTGTGTAGACACATGTCTCTGTAGACCAGTACAGCAGATGTTATGCTGATCAAGAACATTCTCTCTGATCTCAAATTTATTGAAAAGCTGAGATTAGCAAAATACTTCTGACTTTCTAGTCTGATATTTTTCAGCAGCTTCCCCGAAGACATAGGAGACCTGGGTGGATTTGAGATACATAGACGTCAGTAGCTACAACTTTGACATGTCTCTCCCTCTCAGCCTTTTTAATAGTTTGGTTTGAGGTAAATAGATGAAGAGATAAAAGGAGTTTCTAGCTATCTTTTTTCCCTCTTGGAGCACGTTGACCTTTTTCTTTGCAGCCTGGTGATATTTGTGGCAATAAAAGAGTAGAGTCATCAGCTTATGGGAGTTCACAGCTAGAGCGCTCACCTAACAAACACCATTACCCCTCAGCCCCTTCCATTTTCAAACCTCCCAAAGGCCCCAGCCAGGAGCATCTCCTGAATTCCTCCATGCCTCACCCAGACAGCCCACATGCATGCACAAGTGGCTAGAGTTAGAACTGTGGGCTGTGCATAACAAAGGAGTGTTTGTGAACCTGTGTGGGAGACAACTCTTTGAAGGTGACTTGGGAGAGAAGACTGAGAATTTTGGGGGTGTCAGTTCGGTGTTTCTAGGAGCAGGTTTAGATTAGTAGAGGAAGGTGGCAACATCATTGTAATCTCAGTCACTGGAAGCCAGGAGTATTGTTCCATCTCAGAGCAATTCCACAAGATGAAAATTAGGTCCTAAAAAAGGAAAAAAAAAAAAAAAAAGATCATAAGATCAAAAAGAAAAATAAAATGACAAAACCAATAATAAAAAAACAGACAAGAAAATGAAAAACAAAAACAAAAGAAAGACAAAAAACAAAAAGCAAAAAAAAATTATTTATTTATTTATTTTTTTTTTTAAAGATTTTATTTATTCGACAGAGAGAGAGAGAGACAGCGAGAGAGGGAAACACAAGCAGGGGGAGTGGGAGAGGGAGAAGCAGGCTTCCCACGGAGCAGGGAGCCCAATGCGGGGCTCGATCCCAGGACCCTGGGATCATGACCTGAGCCAAAGGCAGCCGATTAACGACTGAGCCACCCAGGCGCCCCCCCCAAAAAAAAAAATTTTAAAGAACAAAAATTGGGGGTGCCAATTAGATGTTATTCAGTAGTGATTTGATCCATGTTCTTGCAAATATGACCACGCATTTCTTTCTTTTTTTTTATTTTTTAGAGATTTATTTATTTTATTTTAGAGAAAGCGGGAGGGGGAGAGAGAATCTCAATGAGACTCCCATGTGGAGCACAGAGCCTGACAGGGGGCTTGATCTTATGACCCTGAGATCACGACCTGAGCCAAAACCAAGAGTCAGACACTTAACCAACTGTGCCACCCAGGCACCCCAACCATGTATTTCTTAAAACTATTCTAATAGCTAATAACTATTTCCTAAAATATTTTTATTACTAACCTTTAATACAGATTTTAGCTTATCAACATTTTAAATAAGTTTTTCTATTCTAAAATGTTTAATCTTTATTTTTATTATATCATTTAAATGAGTGCTTACTTCGTATTCTCTCTTACATAACTTCAGAGGACTTTAAGGTACTTGTAAATAGTGTGAGTGATGAGGCAACTTGACCTTGGATAAGGCACTTGACTGCCAGTAGCTTTCTGATTAGAGCCATGTCATCACATGTGAAATAAAGTATTTTTAACCAACGATAAGTGGTGTGTGAAATGAGAAAAGTCCTTAAAGCATCCAATTAATATTTTGGCTTTACTAATTTGTCACTAAATAAGCGTTTGCACTTTAAAATTGTTTGAAAAGATCATATTACTTATATGATTCCCTTCCTAAATCTTTAAAGTTTCCCCTTGATTCCCCTCTCATCCCAACATGTACTGCTTAATGCATTCCCACAGATTGGAAAGGAATTAAATTTTTCCCCCAAATCCTCTGCAAAGTTTAGTTCTAACCATTATTAATCTGCATGTCAGCACATTCATTCATTTACTTATTTCTTCATCAAATATTTATTGATCTCCTCCTCCATGCCAAGTACTGTTCTGGGTGCTGAAGATACCACAGGGAAAGCTAAACAAGTAAAAGTCCCTGCCTTTCCATGTTGCTTATATCTGCTGATTTCATGGGTTTTTCGCTATAAAGGTATCTCATCGTGGAGTTGCCTGTCAGGAAATCTGTCTTTTATAAGTCCCATGCTAGCTTTGAAGATTAGTATGTATTGGTCTCCCTTGTGTCAAAGGCAAAAGCATTCATGATGTGTACAAGTGTGTATCATTAGTCTGTCTTGGGCTACCATAACCAAGTACCACAGACTTGGTGATTTAAACTCCAGAAACTTATTCCTCACAGTTCTGGAGGCTGGGAAGTCCCAAGATCAAGGTGCCAGCAAGGCAGGTTTCATTCTGAGGTCTCTGTTCTTGGCTTGTAGATAACTGCCATCTTGCTCTTTGCTCACATGACCTCTTTGTACATGGTCGGGCAGAGAGAGAGAGAGTACAAGCTCTCTGATGCCTCTTCTTTTAAGGGCATTAATTTCATCAGGCCAGAGTCTCACCCTCATGACCTCCTTTAATCCTGATTACCTCCTAAAAGCCCCATATCCAAATACCATCAAATTGGGGGTTAGGGCTTGAACATATGAATTTGTGGAGGGACATAAACATTCAGTCTGTAACAGTGAGTATTGCTGAGAAGGTTGAAAGTTTTCCCATAGACACTATGCAAAGAGAAAAATAAACAGTAGTTCCTGACAATAGGACTGCCTTTCTCTCATCATAGTTAGTTCTAGGAATTTAGAAAGACAATTTGCATGCACATTTCTTGAGTTATTGCTTGTTCTTTCTGTTGGCAGATATACTTGTCTCATCACTTTATCTCTTTCAATAATAGTGTGTTCACATGCTTCATACCGTCTGACTTCCTTTGTTACCTTTATATTTCTCTGCTCATGTAACGTCAAAATTACTTAAAACTTTCATTGTCGATGACCTTTGTGATCACCGTTCAGAAGACTGTGAGGAGCATGGCCCATTTGGCTGCCTCCTTGGAGTGCCCAGGGCAGTGTGGTCCTTGATCAGGTTTCTTGAAGTCCCCAGCAGCCACAGTGTTTCTTTTGGTCACAGCTCTTTTCTGTGTCACTGATGACTCTTAACCTCAATTTCCGTCCCCTCCCCCATACCAGAGTTCTAAAACCTCTCATGGCCCATTTTTCACCTGGTGGCATAATAGATTGTTCCTTGGTTTTCTGTCTTATGTCTCATTTCCCCTAACTCCCCTTCCCCACTGCTGTAAAGAATATTGTTATTTACTGAAATAAATACACATTTAATCTTATATGGTGGTTATTTTCAGATTTCTTCTATATCTTTGAAAATGTCAGACGTCCTCTAAAACCAGGATTAGGATTAAGTACTGGATTAGAAAGTCATGTGGACATCTTTCTTGTTTTTCTTCTTGTTTTCCTCTCAACCCATAGTGTTTTTCTTCTATTCTCTTTTCTCTTCTTGCCTTTGAGTCTACTAGCTTTCATTTATTTCCCAGGGTTTCAGGCTAAGAGAGTAATTACAGAAAATGGGCTTTGGATTTGAGCTTATCTGTATTAGGAAAGATAATGATGTTGAGGGACTGAATAGAGACAAATGAAGAAAGATGATGAAAACATTTTGTTTGTTTCTGTTTTTCCTTCTCCTTAGCGTTCCCGTCCACTCTCTGCCAGTGATGCGGAAATGAAAAACCTTGTGGGCTCAGCCCGAGAGAAGGTGCCGGGGAAGTTAGGTGGTTCTGTGCTTGGTCTGTCAATGGAGGAGGTAAAGATAACTCCATTTCAGGCCTTTGTGGGCTAATGCAGGGTTCAGTGAAAATTAGTGAGTGATTTATAATGTTGATGACCACCTTATATCTTACACTGAGAAGAGAAAGATTCAAGATGGGAGAAACTTGTTCTCAGAAAACAGCATCTTAAATGGAATTAATTTCTCCCTTCGTGCTTCTTAAATATTTGTGGGTTGTAACTCTCTTCCTCTGCCCTATAAACACATGGATTACAGTTTTCAAAATGGGTACTTACTTGATTTTCTCTTTATATAGATCAAAGTTTTACGGAGAGTGAAGGAAGAAAATGATCGGAGAGGTGGATTTATTCGCATATTCCCTACATCAGAGACATGGGAAATATATGGGTGAGGTGACTACCTTTTTTTTTTTTTTAATCTGTGCCTCAGGTCCACAGAATTGGGTTAATTGTGACACAGTGTCATCATTGCTTTCCATTTGTGTCTTTCTTACTTTGTGTATTTATTTATAGTGGTGTGAATATTACCCAACCCAATAACTAGAGCATTAACAGTGATTTAATCTACCTGTGCATTATTCCTTTTTAAAAAAACCCCTTAACCTGGGTTAGACACTTGTAAAAATTTTATGATCATCATTACCTTGATTTGAAAATAAAGTAAGTTATAGTACCATTTTACATTTTACCAAGAATGTGTGAGAGTTCTAGTTGCTCCTCCTCTTTGTCAACACTTGGTATTGTCAGGCTTTTTAATTTTAGGCATTCTAGTGGGCATGTAGTGTATCTCTCTGGTTTTAATTTGCTTTTCTCTGATGAATAATGATATTGAGGCTTCATGCACTATTGGCCATTTGTGTATCTTCTTTTTTTCCATTTTAAATTTAGGATTTTTATTTTTTTGTTATTGTGTTAGAAAGGACTCTTGATACAAGTCCTTTCTCAGATATTTATATTGAGAATATTAATATCTTCTCCAAGTCTGTGGCTAGCTTTTTCATTTCTTTTTTTTTTTTTTTTTAAGATTTTATTTATTTGAGAGACAGAGTACACAAGCAGGGGGAGGGGCAAAGGGAAAGGGAGAAGGAGAAGCAGACTCCCTGCTGAGTGCAGAGCCCTACATAGGGCAGGGCTCGATCCTAGGACTCCAAGATCATGACCTGAGCTGAAGTCAGTTGCTTAACCAGCTGAGCCACCCAGGTGCCCCAAGTTTTTTCATTTCTATAATGGTGATTTTTAAGGAACAGAAGTTTTAAATTTCAGTGAAGTCAATTTTTAAAAGATTTATGCATTCTGTGTTTCCTATCTAAGAAATTTTTGCCAACCCTAATGTCATAAAGCTTTTTCTGTTATGTTTTCTTCTAAAAGTTTTACAATTTTGGCTTTTATATTTTGTTCTGGGATAGTATTGATTTAACTTTTGTGTATGGTGTGAGGTAAGGGTTGAAGTTCATTTCTTTTCATATGATATATGTTTATTTCAGCACCATTTGTTGAAATTACCCTATTGAATTACCTTGGCACCTTTGTTGAAAATTAGTTCAAATATATGTGTGGGTCTATTTCTGGACTTTATTCAGTTTCACTAATCTGTCTCAGTCACTATAGCTTTATATTAAGTCTTGAAATTAGTGTAAGTCTTCCAACTTTTTTTTTAAGTATTTTGACAATAAATAAATAAATAAATAAAAGTATTTTGACTCTTGTGTCCTTTGTATTTCCCCAGACATTTTAGAATTACCTCATCAGTTTCTACACAGAAAGAAGCCTGTTAGCTTTTGATTGGGATTGCATTGAGTGTATAGATTAATTTTGGGACAGTGGACATTTTAACAATACTGAATTTTCCAATCCATGAACGTGATATTTCTCCATTTATTTAGGTTGTCTTTTTTTTTTTTAATTTTTAAGTTTTTATTTCAATTCCAGTTAGTTAGCATACAGTGTCATATTGGTTTCAGATGTACAATGTAGTGATTCAACAGTTCCATACACCATTCGGTGTTCATCATGACAAGTGCACTTATTTACGTCTTCTTTTATTTTTCTTAGCAATGTTTTATAGTTTTCAGTGTAAAGGTCTTGAATATGGTTTTTTTAATTCATTACTTAGTATTTCATGCTTTTGAATGCTATTATAAATGTAATTTTTTAAACAGCTTTATTGAGTTATAAACTTTATATATTTAAAGTGTATAATATGGTAAGTTTTAACGTAGGTGTATATCTGTATATACCACAAAATCAACATAACGAACATATCCATAACCTCCAAAAGTCTTCTTGTGCCTCTTCGTAATTCCTCTCACCTGCCCCTCCCAGCCCTTCCCTGCCTATCCCTGTCACCAGGCAGCAATGATCTGCTTTCTGTTACAAAGATTAATCTGCATTTCCTAGTGCTTAATATAATTCTACAGGTTTTTCTCTTATTTGTTGGGTCTTTTTTTTACTTTATTATTATTTTTAAATTTTTTACTTTATTATTATTATTAAAATTATTTACTTTATTATTATTAAAATTATTTTTAGATTAATACATGTTGTATCATGTATCAGTGGTTTAATTCCTTTTCATTGTTGAGTAGTGTTCTGTTATAGGCATATCCCAGAATTTGTTTATTGTTCATCTGGTGATGGGCATTTTGGTTGTTTCCAGTTTTTGATTATTACAAATAAGGCTTCTTTGAGTGTTTATATACAAATTTTTGTATGGACGTGTACTTTCACTTCTCTTGGGTAAATACCTACTTGTGGAATGACTGGATCATATTGTGTATATGTTTAACTTTTTAAGAAACTGCCACACAGTTTTCTAGAGTGGTTGTACCATGTTACATTCCCATAATAAGTGTATGAGAGTTCCAGTTCCTCCATGTTCTCACCAACAATTGGTGTGGTCAACTTAATTTTAACTCCTGAGGTGATGTGTAGTGATAGCATATATGGTTTAATTTGCATTTCCATAATGACTAATGTTGAGCATCTTTTCATGTGCTTATTTGCTCTTTGTATGTTTTTGATGATCAAATATTTTACCCATTTTTAAATGAGGTTATTTGTTCTCTTATAATTAAGTTGTGAGAGTTCTTTATATATTCTGGATATTCTTTTTTTCCTAGCACTTGAAAAATGTTCCATTATCTTTGGCTTGCATTTTTCTGACAAAAAGCATGTGGTAATTCTTATTTTTGTTTTTCTGTGCATAATGTGTCTTTTTTCCCCTCAGTCTGCTTTTAAGATTATTTCTTTATGACACATTTTCAACAGTTTGATTATGATATATATGCCTTGGTGTCATTTCTTTATGTTTCTTCTACTTGAATTTGTTGAGCTTCTTTGGTCTGTGGGCTTATAGTTTTCATCAAATTTGGAAAACTTTTGGCCATTATTTCTTCAAATATTTTTTTTCTATTTCCTTCCTTTTCTTTCTCCTTTTGGGACTCTGGTTACCTGTTAATTGGTTGATACTATACTATAAGTCTGGCTCTGCTCATTTTTTTTAGACTCTTTTTCTTTCTTTACTTTGGATGATTTTCTGTTTCTCTGTTTCTGAATTCATTCATCTTTTGTCTGCAGTCTCAAATCTATTAATTCCTTCCAGTGAAATGTTCATTTCAGTTACTTTATTTTTCAACTTTAGAATCCGTTCTCTCTTTGTATCTTCTTTTTGTTTTTTTCCCATTACTTCTTTTTTAGATTCTTGTGCATATAATATTTATAGTAGCTGTTTTAAAATCTTTGTTATTCTGTTATCTCTGTCATTTCTGAGTCTGTTTTTATTGACTGATTTTCCTCGTTTCCATTTTTTTCCTTCACATGTACAGTCATTTTTAAAAATTGGATGCTGGACATTATAAATGTATAGTTGAGTGGGTTCTATTGCCTTCTTTAAATGATTTTGAAAGTTTTTTGGTCTGATAAGTTACTTGTAGATCAGTTTAATCTTTTTCAGGCTCATTTAAAAACTTTATTTATTTATTCATTTGAGAGAGAGATTGAGAGAGAGAGAAAGGTCAGAGGGAGAAGCAGACTCCCCGCTGAGCAGGGAGCCCGATGTGGTACTCGATCCCGGGACTCCAGGATCATGACCTGAGCTGAAGGCAGTCGCTTAACCAACTGAGCCACCCAGGCGCCCTAAAAACATTTTTTTAAAAATTTCAGTATAATTAACATACAGTGTTGTATAGTTTCAGGTGTATAATGTAGTGATTCAACAATTCTGTACATTACTCAGTTCATTTAAAAACATTTTTATGGTTTGTTTAAGGTAGCTTTTTGTTTAGATCTAGGAAAGTTTTACTATTAAAGACTTTGGAGATGTCTGTTAAATGAGCCCCATATTCAATGAGATTTCTCCATTTTGGCTGGTGGGAACCAATCAGTGTGTAGCTCTGCATGAATTCTGGCAAGTACTCAGCTTATACTTTCTCTTTAATGTTCTTTACCTTGTCACTTGCTCTTTGCCCAGCCTTGTGGACTTTTACCCTATGCCTAAGCAGATTTGTGTTCACCCAAAGACTCAGAGTCCCTTGTGATGCTTTTTCTTTGATGACAGTAAGGTTGAGAATCTCTGTACTTATTTATAGTTGACCTATTTCTCTTCCTCTGGTGATTGGCTTTTGATCTAGTTGGGATATTAGTGGTTCTAAGTATAGAGCTAGAACTTAGAGGAATAAAAGAAAGTACCCATTTTGTGTTTGTTTTGTTTTGAAAACCCAGCTGTTCATAGAGAAATCTTCCTTTCATCTTACAAAATATTCTGTCAATGTAGTTATACCTTACAAAGACCTAGGAACACAACAGAAAGATATTGCTTGGGTTTTCTTTTGATATGTTTTTGAAGAATTTAAATATTTGCAGTTCCTAGAAAACATCTTTTAATTAATGAAAGTGGAAACCTCTACTCTTGAGTATTTCAAGAGTCAGGACCTTAATTTAAGTGCCTTTTCTAAGGAACCAATTACAGGTAATGTTGGGGTCTCTTATAATAGACCAATAATGATTGGTTTGGTTTTACTGGTTTGGTTCTGAACCAATGGGAATAAGACAAAGACTAAAAGAGATGGAGGCCAAAATGTCTCCTTCTTTACTGATAAAGTCCAGGTTGGGAGATTTGATTCTCTCTCTCTACAAGCAAACACCCTTTTTGTTGAACTTCTGATATGGGCAGATTTACATGCCCATTTATAGGCAAGGTCAGACTGGGCTGTGTGGGAGGAGCACCTGACCCTGTAGGACCAGTAGAGGATATGTACCTCCTAAGGGGAAATTGTCTCCCAAGAGAAAAATGGGAGGTGCAGATTGATGCATTTCTGTTTATTCTTCCTAAATTACCAATCTGGTTAAGTCACTCCACCTCTCCTGGGTCTCTGAGAAAAGAGGCAGAGTAAGGCCAAGAATATTAAACTAATTGAGCTGCCATCGTGCAGAGTGGAGAAGATGTATTTATTTATCTACTAACAAATATGCCTTTTTACTAATATATATTTACTGAGTATCAGCCAGATGTCTAGAACTATGCCTGGTGCTTCAGAGTATAAAACCAATATTAGATGGGATCCCTGCCCTTTGAGAGTTAACAGTGGGATTACGGAGAAATTATTTATACATAAAATAAAAATAGCTCATTTGTATGGCTTTTCGTCATTATAATGTACTTCATGCACATCATTGTTATTCCAATTTAATGATATGGAAAGTAAGGCTCAGTAAGATAATGTGACTCGTCCATAATCACACAGGGGGACTTGATTCAGGTATTCTGACTCTGGATCTGACTTTTTTCCTGCTGTATCATGCTGCTTTTTGAGAAGAAAAATTTTCCTCTACGAGACAGTGTATGACAGGTCCGTCTTCCGGCATACAGTAAAGGTTAAGGTAGTTCAGACAAGGGTGCTTCTATAGTCTCAGAGCAGTCCTGTCAGGGAAGGACTTTGTGCAGCAGACTGGACTTGAGCTGCGTCTTGAAGAGTAGATCATGAATAAGTGGAGAGGGTGTGAGGAGGTGTCCAGACCAAGGCAAAAGGATCATTGCGAAGTGTGGTGTGAGAGGAGTTTAAGGGAGCTTGTCTGGCTATATGGCAGGATCAGTGTTGGGGAACCGTCTGGAAAAAGGGTGAAGGAATTGGTGGTATAGCTTATCCAACTTTTGAAAGCTTGGAAGAGAAAGAGTATGCCTCCTGAAGTAAGCGTCAAGGAGCCATTGAAAGCTCTTGAGAAATAACATGATTGAAACCATCTTCTGTCTACATTTTCATACCCTTTATGCTTCTCCCCATTCCCGGCTTCATTTGACTTCTCTCTTAGTTATATATGATTTTTGGTGGTGGCTTTGTTTTTACTTTACAGTTTTATTTTCTGAATTTAGGTGTCACTTTTTATTAATCCAAGAAATCCTGTCATTTCTTTCTTTTTATTTTCTAAATCAACTCCATTTATCCTTTTCATTTTATTGTATCTGCTGCTACTCTGGTATTTTATAATTTTAATTTAAGCAACTTTCTCCTCCTTTGCCACTTTAGAGAACTGTACATTTATTTAGAAACCGTATATAAGTAACCTGTCACTTCTGTGCTTGATTCATGGCTTTATTTCCATATTTTTTCCCTTCATCCAAACTTAAGAAATAGCCGGTTTCGTTCTTTGTCTTTCAGGTCCTACCTTGAACACAAGACCTCCATGAACTATATGCTGGCAACACGTCTGTTCCAGGACAGGTGGGGATTTGCTGATCTTGTAAATTTGCTAATCTTATAAGATCACTAGATCATGTGATAAAGAGAAAGTACATACAAAAGAAGGAAAGAGGCTTTATAAAAAAAAAGTCTTTCGTAAAATTCTGATACAGAGGGCCTTGCAGAAAACACAGTATCGTACCTCATTGTCCCAGAATTCATTAACTCTTAGCACTTTGTACTGTTTCCAGAGGCCACAAATTAAACCATAATGATCTTTAAACAATCTTAACAAATGCCCTAAACTTTATTCTTCTTAAAAGAAGACCTGTACTCTGCCTTTTTACATTAGACACAATGTCCTCATCTGTTTTTCTAGACTAGAAGAGATTAGAATGATCAGATTTGGAAAGGTAGAGCAAGGTGGTAATTCACAAAATAAATACACCAGGAGTTGTAAAAAATGACAATTGATAACCTCAATACAAGGGATGATAGGGTAGAATGATGGAAAATGGACATTGGAATTCAAAGAGCATAGCAATCAGGCACTACTTAGTCCCACATCCTTTTGTTGCCCCAAGACATAATTGTCTTGCAGGACAGTTTACTAATTGACTATCAAAATAAGGAACCTTAGTTATTTAGAGAAATTTATGTTATTTTCAGGCTATATGTGCTTTTTCGCAGGATTCTGAAAACAGATACCCAGATTTTAGCCATTTCTTACAATTTCGTGATCTATTATCAGGAAATAGAGGGGATTTGCCATTTCCCCCTTAAATTTGTGGTTATTACCATTGATGGAATAATTACACTGCTTAGCTTCTAGTGAAAGAGACCTTCAGATTCACTTAGAAGACATGGAAGCTCAGTTCTCTCTATGTAACCTGTTTTTTTCTCTCCTCCCCCACGTGGCATCCTAGAAACTTTATCTTTAGAGTTCAGGTACTTTGCCAAGATATATTCTAGTGTGTTACTTTTCATTATGTTGGCTTTGCAGTGGGTGAGTCATTTCCGTCTGCAGATTTAAGTCTTCCATCTGTGGGAAATAGTCCCCTCATCCTCCCCTTTCTCTCCTTGTGGAACTTCCATTAGATGAATTTTGGATCTTTTGCTATATGCTCCATGTTTTTTGTTTTTGCTTTTGTTTACTTTTTTCTCATTCTTTTGATCTCATTGTTTCTTAGCTTTAAATTCTGGGAGGTTTCTTGAACTTTTCCTTCTAAAATTTTAAATTGATCTGTAGCCCTATCTATTTTGTTATTTAGTACCAGACAGGAGAGGGTTGTTCAATTTACCTTTTTAACTTTGGCAAGTATGATTTCCATATCCAAAAACTATTTTTGATTTCTGACTAGTTTTTAGAGTTCATGGCTGTAATATTAAAATGGTTCTGGTCCCATTTCCAGTGTGGTGGGCGGGTTCCCCCACAGCACCAAGCAATTGTCCCCTGTTCGCAGCTGAGAATTCAACTCAATCCTGGCACTGTCTGCCCAGAGATTAGCATCAGATTGCGCAGTTTAAGGATTCAGTCCTACAAGACTGTGTCATTCCCCACTTCCTCTGCCTTTGCCTGACTTTGGACACCAATTGAAAGGCCAGGTTGTCACCTGTGCTGCTGGCAAACCGGCTACAGATTGGGGTTTTGAATGACCTGCTCTTTGGACTTTAATTCAGACACCAGTTGCAAGTCCAGGCTGTTACCTGGACTTCTGATCGACCAGCCCCAAATCAGAGGTTCCTACAGCTCTCTCCTTCCTTCCATTTGATTAATTTGCTGGTGTGGCTCACAGAACTCCAAGAAACGTTTCGCTTACTAGCTCACTGGTTTATTATAAAAGGATATAATTCAGGAATGGCCAGATGGAAGAGACCCATAGGGCAAGGTATGGGGAAAGGGTGCAGAACTTCTCTGCCCTCTCCAGGTGTGCCAGGCTCCCCCAAATCTCCACGTGTGCACCAACCTGGATGCTCTCCTTTTACATTTTTATGAAAGCATTATTACATAGGTACCATTGATTAAAATCTTTGACCATTGGTGATTGAATTCCCATCTCCAGGCCCTCTCCCTTTCCTAGAGGTCAGCAAGATGGGACCGGAAGTTCCAACCCTTTGATCACATGGTTGGTTCCTCTGGTGACCAGCCTGCATCCTGACGGTGACCCAGAGCATTCCCAAAGTCACCATATTGGCATAACCAAAGGCACCTTTACCATGCTTATCACTTAGGAAGTTCCAGAGGTTTTAGGTACTCTATACCAGAGATGGGGATGGAGACCAAATGCATATTTCTTTAAATTCTTCTTTTAAAAGATATATTTATTTATTTTAGAGAGAGTGTGCATGCGGGTAGGGGCAGAGGGAGGGAGAGAGAATCTCGCAGAGCCCAACTCAGGGCTCAGTCTCACAACCCTGAGATCATGACCTGAGCCGAAGTCAAGAGTCAGATGCTCAACTGACTGAGCCACCCAGGGCACCCCCCAAATATATATTTCTTAATATAAAGCACAATATCATAAATATTTTTTCACATCTCTTTGACTTTTTTAGTTTGTTGAAAGTTCCTTTCTGTTTTTTGCATTTTATTTAATTCTTCTAGATTAGTTCTGTTCATTCATCTCATTCTTTCTGGTTTGTATTACCATATTTCCTCATATATTTAGTGATCTTTGATTGTCCAGTTGTTTTTATAAGTAATGGACCATTTGCTGAGGATAGGTAGTTTGCATGATTTTCCTCACAGGTTATTTCAGTCTGGACTGACATGGACTCTATGTTTGAGGCTGGATCTTTCCATCCTTGGCTTCCCATTAAGGAGAAGGAAGTGGAGCAGGCAGTTGGGAAACCATCACTAAAGTGAGAAAGCATTCTCCCAGGGGGAGCATAACAATAAAGAGATTTTAGACATAGTAATATATGTGTTTCTTTATTAACAATTCAATAAACAAGACCACCAGCCGGTCTAATAATCACCATGATTTCAAAAGTACGGTACATGTTGCAATATTTTGAGATACCTGTAACATCTCTAAAGTAATATGAAAAAAGATATATTGTTTTTTTTTGTTTTTTTGGGGTTTGTTTGTTTTTGGTAATAAAATCATATGAACACTGCTGCAGACAGTTCCCTACAGGTCTATGAAGGAAATGCTAAATTTCAGTTGGAGGATTAATTTTAGCCTAATCTCTACTTTTTCACATCCACCCTTGGCCAGTCCCTCTGTGTCAACTTGCTCTTTCATGCCTCCTTCTTCTTACATACTTGCCATCCCATGGAATGGCCTTCAGTCCATCCCTACATTTACTAGTTGTGTCCTTTCTCCTCTCCCAGACTAGGAGGAGGTTCTGCCAGCCCTTCCAGTCCCTCAGTCTGATTCAGATTCCCACACTGCATTATAGTTGCTTGTTTACTTAATAGCCTCTCTACTTCACAAGTTGGCTTTTGAGAGTAGTACTTTGTTATGTTCATCTTTGTTTTTATCAGTTTCTAGAGTGTACCACATGGTAGGCACACGCACACAAACATGCACTGAAAAAATGAAATTGTATTTGTTGTAAGCCCTAACATCTTCCGGTCAGTTTGTTCTCTTCAATCCGAACTGATGTTTTTCTTCTTGAAAATCCTGTTGTGTTATTGTCAGAATTACTTTCAAACTAATTCCCTAATTACTTCTTTTTGGTTAATTTTGTCTGCCTTTCTTGCCCTCTCCCTCTCATCCCCCACCTGCCACCCTGCCTGGCAAACAGTATCTTACCTGCTATCTTATAGTATGATGGTAGTTTTAACCCTGGCTACATATTAGTAGCACCTGCGGATTTTATAAACCCTGTTGATGCTCTGGCCCAACTCCCAGGCTGAAGTATTGGTACTTCCTAAAAGCTGCCTAGGTGATGTAATGTGAAACCATGATTGCATATTACTGGAACAAACCATTATCTGATGAAGAAGTTAAAATCATTTTGAGGCTTTCTGATGATAAGGAGACAATATTAGGACACTGGCATGAAAAGAAGACACGGGAAGGGAAAGACCAAACATTTTGGTGAAGACCTACTTTCTACTTGATTTTCTGTAAATAGAAAATCTTAACATTGATTGCATCTGTCTCCTTTTATAACATTTTTTAAATTTTTAAATGGTAAATTTTAAATGATAAAGTTTTAAGATGAAGAATGGATTAAAAGGACCCAGGGGTTAGGTAAGAGGTGTGTGGTTATAAAAGGATGACACAGGGGATCCTATGGTCATGGAATTGTTCAGTATCTTGTCTGTGGTGATGTATATGTGAATCTACACAGTGATAAAATTGTACTGAGCTAAATATACACATTCACAAATGAATACAAGTAAAACTGAGGAAATTAAAAAAGAGATGTTATATATGTCAAATGAAAGGAAATTGAATGAGGAGAGAATGTTCTAAAGAAAAACAAAAGCTAATTTAAACATAAATGGCATTCACTTCCTATGGTGAGAGCCCAACTCTATAGTTCAGACACTGTGGAGAGCATCTCTTTTTTTAAAGGGATTTTTTTTTTTTTTAAAGTTTGAATAATCTATTTCTCATGAGCATCCTTTTTTGAACCCCATGAGAACTGAGATTGGATTCCTTTACTGATACATAATACAGTTCAGTGAAAGTATATAGAAGAGCACTGGACTCTGAGACCTAACCTCTGGGTTCCCATTTGAGCCCACTAAGCTCCAGCCTTGGGCATGTCACAAAATGATCTTATCCTACTCCTTTTTTTTTTTTTTTTTTTTTAATAACCAGGGCCAATAATCTTCTTCACATGGTGGTTGTGAAGAATAAGTGTGATTTGAATTGTGACTAAATATGCAGATGCAAGTAATTGTTATGTTTCTTTTCTAGAATTCATTTGTCCTTTCCCTTTTGCTTTTTTTTTATTGCTCTTCCCCCATACTTATGGGACTCTGTTCTTTTCTCAATACATCTCTCTACTTCTCCCCAAAGAAGCCTTCCCTGGCATAATTCCATGTTATCTCAGGAGTGTGTGTGTGTGCACGTGTGAACTCA